TTTTGCTATTACTTGTAGATGTGCGGGATGAAGAAATGTTTTTTTGGATGGCATATGTATGCGTGTGCTTTAGTGCCTGTATATATGTAAAGAGTGCAAAATTGCATGTCTGGTTGCATGGTTTGTACATATGTATGTATATGTTTATGCTTGTGTATACTATGTGAGATTGTGTCTGTTTGTGTTGGAGCGTGCGTTGGGTTGTTTATGTGTGCAGTGTCTGATGTGTAAGTATGTGCGTGTACGTGTGCCTGCATAATTTTATATTTTCGTGAGTGTACTGTAGTATAATAGTGTATAGAATGTAATACATGTATAGCTGTTTGACAAAATATATGATTATACCAGTCTGTGACATCGGGAGGCTATGTTTATTAGAAGCTATAATGCAAAAATGTCTATAAAACTGCTATATATGTCTCATATATTAATAAAAAATATTTCAAATTGTATATTTTATTAGAAGATGTTGCTGGGATGGTTAAATACTGTTTTTTTTATTTTTTATTGGGTGGCATCTTCCATAATTTCACCGCGTATCCGTACAGTGCTGTACACACGCGGCTATGGCCGGTAGGAAAGTGTACTAACTAACATATGGAGCGAACGAGTTGAGTTACGTTTCTAGAAATCTAGATACATATAAACACATGTGTTATCTATGATCTCTGTGATTCAACATCATTCCTGGTTGAGTTTATTGAAGCGCGAGTGGTTTCATTAATTAGCAAATATCTACGTGCGGTATCGCACATAAGGTAATATACGCATGGCTAAGAAAGTGTACAATTAAACTATCATATGGCGCGAACGATTTGAGTTACATTCCTAGAAATCTAGATACACATGGACACATGTCTTAGCTATAATCTCTGGGACTTTTGAGTTTATTGAAGCACAATTAGTCTAATTAATTACTACGAACCATTGTACAGCCGTATCCATACAGCGCTGTACTTGAGCGGCAGCGGTGAGGGTCCATTTGGAAACAATATGGCTCAGCTAATAGCGCCACCTATCTGCCATAGACATACAATCTATCTCAAATGCAATTGTTTTCAAATGCAGCGGCAAATTACAAGTTTACACATTTAACAAATCTCGCGGCTCGATGTCATTTTCATTGCGTTACAATGTGTTCATATCTAATCTTCTATGTTATAACTGCATAAAATCATGGTGTTTTATTAATGTTGGTGAAATCAGTGATATATCCACTGTGAGGTGAGACTATATTTTGCTATATTTTTTTGGATCGAGCATTTCTGAGCAAAAATCTTGTAATAAGCAGTTTAATAAAATTTGTAAAAATTGATGAAATAACTCTTCATTTCATTTTTGTGTACTTATTTTGGTTACTTTACACCTTGGAGACAGTAAATCTATCCTACAGGAAACATAAGCATGAAAATTTAGAACACCTCACGCACAACTTTAGTTGGAATTCAAGAAACGTGCGTTTGATGTGCGTACGCACA